ATATACCTGGCGAGGTAGTTCGTATCTTGCCACCATGGCGCCCATATGGTGTATACGATGGCGAATTTTAACTCCAGTGCAATAAGTGACACGCGTATTCTTTGGAAATATATGGGCGTTGGGATGCGACAGAACTGCTTTGCACAACGCACACTTAACCGTACATGTTTTTCTTCAAAGTGTTTAATATTCCATTTATTTAAGGTTAGTTGGAAATGCCTTGTGCACTTTTTTGCCACCTTCATCTGCATGTAAATGCACAATGCGCTGCGCTTTCCGCGTGTGATTTCTACACCTCCTGGGAGGTGCTGGGTGGCTCTGTGCCAGAGTGAATGCCGGTGTCCGTGTATTCTGCGTTGAACTCTGAATAATTGCGCTGCGCTGGGAGGTGTGACGCCACTCTCTCCTACGGTTTCGTTTCGAAATCGGAAAATTTGCATCTTTTTTGCCGATGCCGAAAGCCACACATCCCTGCCTTTTATTCCTCGTGTGAATTGGTCTACGACAAGCATCGCCATAAACAACAACACTCATTGACGGTCAGGGCCCACCAAGTCACTTAAATATTTAATGAAACGCACATTTCCAAACACTAAATTACACACGCAGGCAGAAAACAACAGCGTACTTATTCAGTGTATTGCCAAAGATCGACTTATCTAGTATTGAATGTTTTTAAAATTCATACAAAAAATAAATCGATATTTTATGGCTTGGAAGGTTTTTGTGCACGCATTTTTTTTGCAAGTTGATTCGTAAACACAACGACAAAGGAGGTTGCATACAAAACAAGTGGGGAGGACAAGGCCGGGTGTCTGGATCGCCTCTCTGCGTGCGGTCACGCGCCGTGGCGCCGCCAGCGAGGGCCGCAATACACGCGACGTTGCGGCACAGTGAGCAGCACACGTAATCGTTCATTCGTGTGTATTCGTGATCGTTTTCAGCTGAAGACGTTCGCGTTGGCGTGTATCGTAATCAGAAATGTGTTGCATGCTGTCCCTCCTTTTAAAAATTCACTCGTGTCATCATTGTAACTCACGAGTGTGATCGAGACGGGATCCGTATTCAGAGCGCAACAGACACACCGGGCGAGGATAATCGCAGTATCCTGCGTAGCTCACGTGTCGCGTTTCGTTGTAATCGAGTAAGAAAACATAGCTGCATATTGATTTGCATCTATGTTTACCACAAGAAAAAATAGAAAGAATTAGGTCTTGCCCTCACTGACACACTCGGACTGTGCACTTTTAAATCTAGATTGGAAACGAATTTCTTTAGAACTGTTTTTTGTGTTTAGTTTGTCCTTCCCCCGCACCTTCGATGAGCACGGTTGGCTACGTACGGTGCGAGAGAAGTTCAACATACAACAGGAAATGTTCCATGAGATCTATGTGGAATATTATCGGGCTGGTAATTACGTTGTAAACATTGGTGTCTAACTCAATACTTTAGTGTGGATACTGTTCAGTGTGTGAGACAAGCATACTGTATAAGAAAATTGACAAGGTAAGCTTATCGGTCACACATGCTCTGGGTTGGTTGTGTAGTGCCAACGATTCAGAGACAGAGTTTCTTGGAGGCACTTTCTTTATTAACAACTTTGACGGTCTCGTCCGCACAATCTCCACAGTAGCTCAGCCCAGCCTGTACACAACACTGGCCGTCTAACACTGACGGCGCCGACTGAGATAGCCAACCACTTTCCTTCCGAGCGCAATATCTAGCGGAGACATTTAGCGACGACAGCGACGACAACGACGACGAGACAACAGCAACAACGAGACGAGTCCATTCCCAGAACCGGCAGCCCTGAGCCCCCCGCTCTCGGCTCCTTTTATGCTACAAGCGTAGCCTGGCTCCGCCCTGACCGCGCCTCCCTTCTCGAACCTCCCAGAAGGTTCCAGGGTCCTCCAGACCGGGTCCTCTGTGAACCTTGCCCTAGTTCCTCCCTCTGCCGACACCCCGTGCACGCCCTCACCAGCGTGTGCGCTGTCTGTCCCCAACAGTTGCCTCTGCTGTCCACCAGTCGGCGCTATTACACTGCAGCTGTATAGAAGGGCGAAGGGTAAACAAGTTCTTAATAGTATTTGCAGACTGGGTAGCGAGATTTAGCACCTCATGTGTCCGAGTCTGGCACTGCGAATAATAATTATATGATTATAATCGTATTCAAGCCCCGTGTTTACCCAACAAAGCAACGACGAGTCTCCAAATTTACAGCAAGCTCCTGCATGTGGAAGTTTGATCAATTTCACTAAGATGCTGGTGGAGGACACTGTGGACCCAAACAATAACACACATTCAGGAAACCATCTCTGTACATATTGCCATCTCCTAGCCACCTTGCAGTCCAGACCTACGCCGACTCACCTGCTATTCCCTGACAGTCTCCAACCTGGCTCAACCCTCCTGAGCTGAAGAGATCTCATTAGATCCAGGTACATTTAGGTGGATTTGGACATCGGCCAAATGTGCAATTCCTGTCTGGCTAAGCATGTGTGTTATATCAACCCAAGGTTTAATCTTTCCTAACGAGCAGTATCAACGTGTTACTTTTGTATACTGTACTCTTGCCCTGCCTCCTTATATTAAAATCAAGAATTCGCCTTTTGTCAATACACTGATTGATGAAGGTCTGCCCCACGTTACATTTACCATTTTTGAATGACCAAATTCTCCACCCTGGTCAGTGTGGCTTGCTAAAGGTTGTTGTCTAGTGCCAGTTTATATATCACTCGCCACTCATGTTTGCTATGGCTGGGAATTAAATTCAGGTCACTAGATTTCATAGCGCAGGGCATTAACCACTATGCCACGCCGTTAGGATTAATTTGCTACATTTATTCATTTACGTGGAATAATTATGCCGCGAACATTTCACCTGTGAGTTGCACAATCCATATTTACCAGTATTGTGTTGCAGATAGTCATGAGGCTATAAATGCAATTAATGTTCTAGGCAATGTTCCTTCTTCAGTATAGTCATGACAACGTAACTCGTGAATTGGATGTAAATGTTTTGGGAATATCTATTGCTTAACTAAACTCGTGTCATAAATAACGGAAATTTGAGTTTGGAAATAATAGTGTACAATTATCAATTTGGTTTTGTGCTCGTGCAGGAAATTACAAATATAACCACTCGGCCATCCGCAGATTGTTTTCAGTAACATTGTTTTAAATGCCTCCGGATTCCTGTGACCTCAAAAGTGTGTTGCTGCATAGACATGAAAACAACAATAGCGCTGCACCTACACGACGACACGTGCGATTTTACTTTGTGTTTTACGGTCTTTCAAGGGTAACGTGTAAAACATGCCAGGAAATGTTTTATAGTCCTTCAAAAGATAACTTCAATAGCCTTGCTCTCCATGAAGATCAATGCACATTTTCTTAGTTTCGACAAATGCGGACGGAGCGGTGGTGCATTGGTTAGAAAAATGTAAGAAAATATATAGCCACGGCAATGAAGAAAAATAGAAAGAGATAAAGCAAAACAAATATTACAATGCGATTTGACTTTGGTTTGACCGGTTCTTTAAATAAACTAGCTAATGAAGAATTTGCAGGAAGTGATATAAGACATGAGGTAAGCAGCTTGTTTGATCTCCTTGCAAAAGCTGTGCAAGATTTAAACGAGATTGGGTCCTTCAGAGATTAACCTGGGCCGGATGGGCATTGGGGTTAGAGGGGTGTAGGTCACCAGTTCAGAAGCATAAACCTTTCGGCACTGAGGACGACAGCAGCATCCTGTTGGCCATAGGGGGAGAACCCAACATCCACTTTGACCCCTGACTCATCCACCCTGACTCAGCCGGTGCGGTAAGACGATTCACGCAGTCGCCACAAGCAATTACATTGCAGGCTGCCTTTTGCACCTTGGTTTGTGTCTGCCCGAGATATCACGTCGCTTTTAAAAGGGTAGAAACTGCGGTGCGTGGTCTGGCCAAATCGGCGGCATGAGTCATTAAACCGCCCAATTAATTGCCCCTTTTTAATGGAGTCTCTTCTGGCCGTGGGTTCGTGTGGGTCGCCGGTGCCTGTCGTGCCAGCGCGTGTGTGCTGCTGAGCTCGCGTTCCTTGCGTGCAGGGGAATTGTGCTTTGCATTTGTGAACGAGTGCACTAAGAAACAAGCACGATGCCGTTTTTTCTGCATTGTCAGTGTTCATGCTCCGTTTGATTGTCAGCAGAGCAAAGTGGGATTATGTGCTCGCGCTGATGAGGGTGACTGAAGATAACGCTGCATTGGGTGTAGAGAGCTCCACTGATGGCACGTGTGTTCACCATGCGCGTTTTGACGTCCGTTGTTCTCTCTTTGGTCACAATGCAGCCTCCAGCTGGCTTGCATGGCAATTAAAACTCTAAACAGAAATTATCATCATCGGCCATGATCAATCCACTGCTGGATGAAAGCCTCTTCAAGCTGCTGCAATCTACCACGGTCCTGCAATGCACCTCGCTATCACCTGCAGAGGATCTGTTTTTCACGTACAATTACATTTGTTTCAAATATCTTTTCGTGGTTTAATTTCAAAATAACAATTTTAATTGTGCTCATTCAAATGCAATTATCCAGCAAACGTGTAAATGGTCTTGGCTTTCAGCATGCGGCATTTGAAAAAACAATCGCGATTTCTTTTTTTTTTACCTTGAGTTTGATGGCCCAGCGTGTACTGTTACAGGACGATGTCCGTTATTTGCAGAGGGAGAGGATGAAGAGGAGGCAAACCTTTAATTATTGATTGCACGGCGTTCTCCCTCCACGGCATGCGGTGCATGGGTTGTGGCGTGCACACCTCCTCCTCCTGCCCTACGTCATCACACACATCCAGTCGAAACCATAACGGTGGACCCTGAATGCATAATTTAATAAGTGGCAGTAACAAAAAATAAATATAAAAGACAAGCCCCCACCCCCCCCCCCCCCCCCCTCTCATGACGGAGATGAGCGTGTGTATGTGCGTGGCGGAGGGAACGGGAGGAAATCTCGGCCGGGGGTTGAGAGGGAAGAGTGGGGAGGTGCTCAGGACCCACCCCCTCTCATTTCCCCGGCGCGCCGCTTGGCGCGTGCTGCATTGAAGGGGCTGAGCGGAGGCGGCGTGAGGCCCGCGGGAAGGGAGAGCTGCGAAGGCTTCGTCCACCGCTGGGAATTGGCGGCTGCTGCTGCTGCTGCATGCGATGTTCTGTCACAACGGGCGGGCATCGCCACCGGCACCTCTGCAAGGGAGCGGCTTATGAGAACGACTCTAATTCCTGCAGCTGCTGCTTGAATCAACCCGACCCCTCTGCCAAGAGAGGTACCCATCCTCATTTGGTTATTGTTGGCGTTGTTTTTAGACACAAGGAGACGGGTAGAGAATTATGCCGTCTTGTGTGCGGTGCCTAAAATGGCCCGACTGCAGATTTTGGTTCATGTCCTGCGGCCCCATTGTGAGTGGGGCCGCAGATGGATGTATGGACATGGACGCGCGTGCGTGAGTGCGCTGAGATCCTTGTAACATTTGAAAAGATTCGTATTTTGTATGAAGCAGGTTTACCTCTGATAATCCCAATACAGATTAAAACCTCAAAAAACGTAATCTCGGTAAAATCACGGAGTGCGTAAGCCCACAGCTGCTTGTCGCGTTGGGTCTCTCTCTCCCGCTTACGTGAGTATAGCTGCACATACTTTTATGTTTTCACCTGCTCTTTTGTAATTGACGATTAAATTATAGTTGATCAGTTGTTATGTATTTTAGGTCATACATATCATCAATGTGGTGTTTATAGTAATGTGACGAGTTTATATTAAAAAATATCGGAAAATTTTACGTTAATTTTGCTCTCAACTAATGAGCTAAGGGCGTCATTTTGTTTGCGATATATTTGTAGGACGTCGTTTTGTTTCTATTTCACAACCACGTTGAGCCTCGACGACCTCCCGCAGCGGCCGCGTCTGTCACCTCGATGCCCTCGGAATACCCACAACGTGTCACATGTCATAGCAAAACACAACTTTAGTCTGACCATTGGGCGCCGAGGCTTTCTCCATGGGCAGCCAGACCACCCCGCACACCCCCACTGATGGTCCAGCCGAGCGTGTGTGGCCAACCCGTAACGGTGATGTACTGGGAAGGAGATATCAATATCTCATTGCCAGGGCTTTATTCCGCACTCGATATTTTCTGGAACGCTGCTTAGGCTTGCTTACAGTAGACATTATGTATGTACGTTGAACTTCTTTCGCACCATACGTCGACATAAGGCACTACCACGAGAGTACAAGGTACACTTATCCGAAGCCAAAAAGCTGAATGAAATTTAATGGGGCGCCCATGTCCTGAGCCAGTGGTGTAAATGTCTCATTCCGATGGCAGGGGCAGTATATTGTCACTGTTCGAGTTAGCCCTCAGCCAGGATTACACTTAAAACATTACGATTGTGAGCGGGCAGCAGAGCCATATTGCTAGAACATAATAAGCATATACAGTATTATTGTACCCTGTAGTCCTATACGAACAGGCTATTAAACTTCGATGCATGGATTCACTATTGTTGTCAATATATTGATTACAAAAGAAGTCGAGATGGATGTGGCATGCCAAAATAATTCTCCGAACAGCGTTCCGGGCTGCTCCGGCTAAAAAGAATCTCTGCTCGTTGCCAGGGATCGCACTGCAGGGCAACGCTGCCAAGGTCTCGGAGCAGTCCTGTGGCCTCGGCAAGGAATTACGCCACTCGAGCACCCACGTGGCCTTCTGCATTTACCGTTGAACTTGGAATAATTAATAATTAAATATCCCATTCACCCGGTTCCTGCCGACGTCTAAACATGTTGGACTGTAAGCAAGAGAATGTTTACATGTCGTTGGCCAGTCCAGTCGACATTAATTATTTAAGACGAGCCTTTTGCCTCTCCAAGGACGGGTGTATTGCAGTCAATCTGAAATTTGCAAGCGAAAAGCAGAGCGCGACGTGATAGTCATTGCATCAATGCGTGTGCAGTTTGTAAGGGCGCGGTGACACAGACTGATTTCATTTTAAGGTTATAATCCCTTGTTCATCACGACGTCCTTTTTACTTAGATGTCTCAACAGCGTGACGTGAGGGTTCTGCCTTTGTAGTGAGGGTTGTAAGTTGACGCCGAGGAGGGGGGAGGAGGCGCCTCGGCCCCCCATGTGGAGTGACGTCACTTTGTAATGATTATTAATGAGGGGGGCTGTTCGATGTAGAGTGACGTCACCTGCTCATGCTTATTAATGAGGGGGGGAGGGTGCTCCATGTGGAGTGACGCCACCTGCTCATGATTATTAATGAGGGGGGATGGTCGACGTGGAGTGACGTCACAAGCGTTGCACACAGACATTCTTGGCTCATAGGAGGTAATAATGGGGAGGGGGTGTCCATTTTTGAGGACGTCATCTGCTCATGATTATTATTGAGGGGGCTGTTCGATGTGGAGTGACGTCACTTGCGCATGATTATTAATGAGTGGGGGAGTATTCCATATTGAGTGACGTCACCCGCTCATGATTATTAATGAGGGGTGGGGGGTCCATTTGGAGGACGTCACCTGCTCATGAATATTAATGAGGGGGGTTGGTCAATGTGGAGTGACGTCACGGGAGTTAAGGACAGACTTTCCAGGGTGATTATAGTTGGTATTCGACAGGTATTTTTTTAAAGGTGGACAGAGGTGGGAATGGGGGTGGGGGGATTTTAGAAACGTTTCCATTATTTCAACTGCCGTGCCGGGAGATCGTCGAACTGGTGACCTCCGGATTGCAAGTCGAGTGTGCTACCCACTTCAACACATCAGTACCTCATGGTTTTTACATAACAGTCAACGTATTTTGACATCTATTCAGAACCCTTTTAACAACACCTATCTTCAAATAAGCTAACCCAAGCTGGTAGTTTAATGGGTCGTTTTTGACCAAACGCAAACTGAACCTTGCCTTCCGCTGACAGCGGAGCTGTGTTCCGGGGTTGCATTTGAGAGACGGGGAGTGGAGGGACTTCGCGTTGGAAGCCGTGATGCATGATAATTGCCGTCGACATGCAGGAGCAGCAGAGGGCTCCTCTGCCCTAGTTCTGAACGCCAGCCCAGCAAGGGGGTTGTAGGAGAGCCGGGGGCACTACCTGCATGTCGCACATCCTGCATCAAGATGTAAGATGTGCAGAGCCTCTTTCTGGCAAACTGCGCTGGGAAATCGCTATTCTGCCTCTGTCATTGCTGTGGGGAATTAAACCCCCAGCGTGCCACGGACTAAAGTGTGTGCGCGTGTGAGACTCTGTGACATCCTCCATCTCCCGTAGATGAAGCGGCTTAGCAGGAGGATCAGGGTCCCTCAGAGGCATGCATAGTTGCTTGCTACGTGCGCGTCAGGGTCTAACATGGAATTCAGTTGACCAAATCACGATAACTGCTGCACCTATGATTTACCACATATTTGGAAGACATTGCATCGCGGAAATGAATTTTCTCATTTATTTGCGTATTTATAATTTGATTATAAATCGGTTAATTTAAAATAAATGTTACTCACAATTGAATGTAATACATCGCTTTGTGTGTTTGTGTTTTAATGTATGCCGCATAATCTGAGAAAATCTAAACATTGCATGCAATAACAATTACGTAAAATATGAATTTATTTTAACTGAGAACCTATTACGCCTACATTTCTACTTGCATTACGCCACTGGCTTGCCAAAGGTTCAGCCATTTACTTAAAAAACGAAGTAAATAGATAACTCAATACAATAAGCCTTCGGCACCACGGGGGCAAGTGCTGCAAGCAATTCCACTCATTTCCCGGAACCCGCGTGGTATAACGAAGCTGGTGGCCTCCACCACACCCGCACCATTTCCTTGGCAATGTAGGCCAATTACACCGCGACCCCAACTCGCCTGTCATGTTGTCATCTCCTGCTGGATGCGGGCCGCCCCAATGAGTTGTTGGACCGCGCTCGGCGCTGATTTTCGGTGTGGATTTGCGAAGGTTAGGAGCATGGACTGTAGGAATGTAGAAGTACAGCACAACAATGTATCTTGCTGCACTGCACTCTGCTGCCAATAACAACCTCGTGCATGAAGATCACATGCCCAAGCACTATGCAGGCTCAACACTGCTTAGCTACTGCAATCTGACAAGATCGGGCGTATACCGGGCGATTTTAGTTGTAGGTTTATTTTGAATGTGAAAGACAAATATTAGAGGCATTAATTCTCAAGTGGAATTCATATCGCCAACTACTTAAATGGGATTATTTAGGTGGAAATTCATTTGATTTCTCTGAGCATAGCATTGGTATTCTGGGAATGTTGTCTCGATTACTGTAATATCGGAATTATAAACTTGACATTATTCCCCCGCTGAAATGTCAAGCTTTAAACAACGTCAATAAAGGTTTCACATTCACTATTGTGCATCTGGTGGATGTAAAGGAGCCCTATTGCTCGCGGTTATAGATCACCTTAAGGTCGCTCTGCCTTGTTTTGTTTGCTCCCATTCATCTTTTTTCAGCTACTGCCGATTTTCCCATTGTTCAGTTGCGAGAGCGATGACTGATCCCAGCGCCACTATGGATGGCAAATCGATAGACGCCGACGGTGCAGAGAATGATCCGAAGAGCCCCAAGAAGATTCAGTTTGAAATGCCTTCGTTCCAGACGTACCTGGATCCCGCCTCGAGCGAACAGGTATGAAAACCACGAATACGCGCGCGTGTTCCGACACCGTTTCTAAAGATCAGTTGAGGTCGTAGGCGGTGGTGTCATTCGATCTCAGCACACCTTGTGTTTTTGGAGTTGTCAATTTTCTTCATGTCCCGGCTGACTGCGGCCATCGCTATTTACTTCCAATTAGGGATTGCAGACGAAGAGCCACGGTACTTAATTGGCCAGATCGAAACGTGCCACCCCCTCCCCCCCGTGCTGTTGTATAACCAGACACCGTGTCTGCGCCTGTAACGTTGCCTCATGCAGTGCTCATGCTGCATCTCCGTCGCTCCGAGTCAGTGGTCACAGCACCAATCGGCACAGACTCCTGTCCGATGAGCCACACACAAGCCCACGCTTGACTTTAGACCCTGGGGAGCCTACAAGGATGAGTCAAGTATAAATGGACACGCCTTATTCTGTTCATTTGTGGGCTCCTGCCATGCCCCCTTATTCCGATCTTCAGCGGAGTGCAACTCGTAAAGAGCAGCTCGAATTCTGACGTGCGCACATCTGTCCTTGAGAGTGTGCCAATGCGCGTTGGCAAATTTACGGGATGTAAGAATGTCACTGTGAAGGTCGAACAAGAATGTGAATTCCTGCACTAATGCCTGCGCACACAGTAATTAAACTTTTGACTTCAGGAGCCGAGTGGCTGTTGGATGTGAATCTGCTGAAGCAGTGCATCTGCGCACTGCCACTCTCCCTTATGAACTGGAAGATAACATTAAGCCGTAAAATTATAATCCAGTGATTTCAACTGTAATTGTCACCATTGCTGTCCACCCCGCGTGACCTAATTCTATCTGTCCCAAGGTAACGAGTCATCATTGCAACATATGACATCTATTTAACTAACAGTAATGTAGTAATAATCACTTGCCGGCACAACTGATTTACTGCATAGGGGTCAATATAACGACACATTAAACATGTCTATGTCCTCTTTAACAGAACATTGCATGAAACAAGAAACTGTAATTATGCTGTGAAAAAAATGCAACTCCCATCTACCGTGCAATCATCCACAGGATAATTCGCACATCACTGTCATCGCATTTTGTTAGTGTCAAAGAAATTCTAGATTTGAAGCTTTCGTGACTGCAAGGATTCATATTCTTAGGTGTTTTCGGTAAAGTTTTTTTTTACCGAAAAAACCTAAGAATATGTGTCAAAGAAAGTTGGTGAAAGATGCTGTGAATTGAAGTGGCGACCGAGATTGAGCACGCAACAACCTTGTTGACGCAAGAGTCTCTACCTGGGCTGGCAGGGAATTGAGGTCGAGTTTAGCAAGGGGCTACAAATGGAGCGTGTGTTCCAGATTATCTTGCTTCGCAGCCGCTAAAAGGACAACTATTTTTAGAATCCATAAAATATACAGTACTGTATATTCAAAAAAATCCTCCGCGGACGCATCTCGAATGTTGTCTGTGCTCTAAAAATGTAGCCAAATAGCCGAGCGCAATGTTCTATGTTTCTATCAATGTTTTGTTTTCAATCCTAGATCAGACGCCGCAGACCCACGCCAGCCTCTCTCATTCTACTGAGTGATCAGTCATCCCCAGGTGATGTGAGGCGAGAGGACACACATATACACACACAGGCGATGTGTTGAACATTACAGCATTTAGTTGTATGTATTATACGCCACAGTGAAAACACATAATTAGTTGTAATTGCATGTTTACTTGGAATAATATATATTTTTTAACTCTGTACAATGATGTATTTTTACTTTGTTCAGTTCTCTGATTAAATCAATTGCTGTTTACAATTTCAGTAAAAAAATGTACCTTCCAGGTGTGAATTGTAACCACCTCTAATCACTAAATGTTTACGCACTTGATGGAGATAACACTACATGTTGTGGCCTCTGAAAAGGTATCTATGGGATGTATATATATATATATGTTTCAACAGGCAACTTCTGCCTTTTAAATACGAAATTGGTAACAACTGTAATTATTCCGCGTTGGCGTGGCTGATTTTACGAGGAGACATTTGCTGTCAATGAGGCCTGTTGCAGAAAATAATGCCTAGGAAAGACCTCAGTAAAATCCAGGGGCACTGCGCCATTGCATTCCAGCGATACATTTACACATCAGCAGTTTTCTCCACGCGTATCTTCAATACTCACAAATAGCCGATTGCACATTTTCTATCAGTGAAGAATTTTTGTGGCCAATGTTTCATTGCGACAGAATATATTTGTGCATGTTGAATTAGGATGAATTTCCCACTTGCGTTACACGTTATTCTCTAGCAGCTCTAAACTACGTACGGTATCAATGTAGACTCAAAACTTTCGTGACTGCAGGAATTAATATTCTTGGTTCTTTCGGTAAAGTCACGTAGATAGAAAACACAAATCTAAATTAAAAGGAAAAAACCCACGACGTTTCGATCGCAACAAAAGCGGTCTTCTTTAGGTTACTTTGACTCAACCAAGCTCCAATATACTGTATTTTTTTTAGTGAACCTTTGAGTGGCAGGTTTTGGTATTGAGTACCGTGAAAGCCCGATGTCGTGTTTGATGTCAACATTAACGTTCCTCTTATCTTGCACGCAGAGGAGGAACAGACATCGTGTGTGGTGAGTACCTCAACGTGTCGGCCAAATAATTCACTTCTCATAACCAGGGCAGCCACCGGGCCCAGCCTTCACTTTAACGTTGCCCTGGTTTCAAATCTGTAAATAATGAGAAAACCCATCACAACAGAAACATTACTGCGGGCTGGAAAGAAATAGGTTTAGCAAAACACAAAGGAGTGCATTGCAATCATCCAGACCACCAGCTCAAAGTAACTTAATGTGGCGATTTTATGTGTTACACGGGGGGATGATCCCATTGTGCCAGTTGCCTGGTGCGTGAGCACAGCAACAACAAAATCAAGACAAAAACATTCAGACCACAAAGTCAAAGAGTTGGGATGGTCACATTTTCTCAGCTATTTGAGTTGTTGTTAAATGCCCAATAACTTACACTGCAAGCCACAGACTGTACATTATTCCCAGTGTCAGAGTCATCCAATTAGCGACAATAGCACGATAAAAGTTACACGTTGATCATGCAAATATTTGAAGTTTATTGTGGGGAGAAAAAAAAATCCCCAGCTTGCTAATTATATTTCAGTAATTTTGTTTTGTAATTAATTAATCTTCTCTTGAGAATTACGGGGAGCTGCCGTGATTCACAGCAATAGCACTGGTCCATGCGGTGTTCCTGGGACAGATCCACGATAAGTGAAGGACGCCAAATGACTGCTTCAAATAAATTGCGATTTAAAGCTTTCGTGACTGCAGGGATTCATCTTCTTGGTTCTTTCGGTAAAGTCACGTAGAAGGGAAGTAATAAAATAATAAAAATAAAACATAATAAAATAATTCTCACGACGTTTTGGCCACAACGCAAGTAACCGTCTTCAGGTGAAGAATGAAACACTGCCAAACTTGGAGCGTATATATAAGCTGGGTTGGAGGTGGAAGAAGAGCGCCTTGACAAAACAATTTGCATATCAAAATGAATTTAGCATATTTATGGGAAATGCGTAGGAGGTGGGCGGGGGGGTTTTCAAAGTCATATTATGCCCATGCATTATGCAGGATTAGCAGCATCAGTGGGAGGAAGTAGCATTAACAAAGGGAGGGAATGTTAATAGTATGTAGAAGCCACGAAACATGTCAATGGGAGAGCGATGGAAGGAGGCCCGCAGCGGAGCAAATAATGCATTCCCTGTGGAGAAAACAAGATACACAGTCAATGCCAGTGAGTGGACTGTGGTCTGAAGGTCACCATAAACGTGAACAACAATCAGTTAAGATCCGAAATGGTTTATTACGTCCTTCCAATGATTGCTGAGCCAGAATCCATCTTCTCGGTTGAAATTGTCTCTGTGTTTGTATATGTGGATCGCCTCATGAACGAATCTCTCATGGTAGCCAGATGGCTTGCAGAGAACCTCTGTCTTGGAGAAGTCAATGTCATGTGAGCCCACTGAATTGTAACAGTGATCTGCCACGGCTGAGGTGTTTGTCCTACCGTGTTTCAGGTCTGCTTTATGTTCACGGATGCGGTTCGAGACATGTCGTTTGGTTTCTCCAATGTAACTGCTACCACAGAGGCAACTTAGTTTGTAGACGCCTGGGTACTGTATGTCTGGAACCACATCTTTTACAGACGGGACCAGATCACGGATTTTATGTACTGTGTTGAATCGGACCTGGATCTTGTGTTTAATCAGGATTTTGGAGATATTTTTTGTGACCCCAGCAATGTAGGGTAAGGTGATGGTTTTCAAAGGCTCCTCAACAGGATCCTTCTTGATGGTTGGAGTGATGGCTTTGCGGATTGTGTAGTCGGAGTAACCATTAGCCTTAAGAGCTTGGTGTACGTGTTTGAGTTCACTGGCAATGTGTTCCTGGTCGGAGATGCATTGGGCTCTATGGTATAGAGTCTTGATGAGGGAGTTCATCCATCCCAGAAGAACTTATCCTACATTGCTGGGGTCACAAAAAAGATCTCCAAAATCCTGATTAAACACAAGATCCAGGTCCGATTCAACACAGTACATAAAATCCGTGATCTGGTCCCGTCTGTAAAAGACGTGGTTCCAGACATACAGTACCCAGGCGTCTACAAACTAAGTTGCCTCTGTAGTAGCAGTTACATTGGAGAAACCAAACGACATGTCTCGGACCGCATCCGTGAACATAAATCAGACCTGAAAAACGGTAGGACAAACACCTCAGCCGTGGCATATCACTGTTACAATTCAGTGGGCTCACATGACATTGACTTCTCCAAGACAGAGGTTCTCTGCAAGCCATCTGGCTACCATGAGAGATTCGTTCATGAGGCGATCCACATATACAAACACAGAGACAATTTCAACCGAGAAGATGGATTCTGGCTCAGCAATCATTGGAAGGACGTAATAAACCATTTCGGATCTTAACTGATTGTTGTTCACGTTTATGGTGACTTTCAGACCGCAGTCCACTCACTGGCATTGACTGTGTATCTTGTTTTCTCCACAGGGAATGCATTATTTGCTCCGCTGCGGGTCTCCTGCCACCGTTCTCCCATTCACATGTTTCGTGGCTTCTACATACTATTAACATTCCCTTCCTTTGTTAATGCTACCCCCTCCCTCTGATGCTGCTAATCCTGCATAATGCATGGGCAGAATATGACTTTGAAAACCCCCCCGCCCACCTCCTACGCATTTCCCATAAATATGCTAAATTCCTCTTGATATGCAAATTATTTTGTCAAGGCGCTCTTCTTCCACCTCCAACCCAGCTTATATATACGCTCCAAGCTTGGCAGTGTTTCATTCTTCACCTGAAGACGGCTACTTGCATTGTGGCCGAAACATCGTGAGAATTATTTTATTATGTTTTATTTGTATTATTTTATTACTTCCCTTCTACGTGACTTTACCGAAAGAACCAAGAAATATGCTTCCAATAAATCAACATGTCGTTAGCTTACCATTAGTGCACACGGCCCCACAAGCAAAACTCACATTTCACAAGTCTGAGATTTCCCTTCGGAAGAAACCAGTTGTTTAAATCGGGATGACTGAGTGTCAGCTCCACCTCTTCACCCCCCCCCCCACCAACCGCCATGTGCTTGTCACCTTTGTGTTTGCTCCAGACCACTCGAGCCGAAGCTTAACGAGGGCTCTGTGACACATCATCTCTGCGACACATAATCTCTGCCTTCTCCGCACGTTAATCAATATTTATAGAAATGCACACTCGTGCTTTGTTTGCCTCATTAATGTCGACTTTTATGCTTGTCTGTTGCATTCTGAATGAATAATGGAATAATTAACGCCGGTCCGTTTGTTCGTCATTCGGCTTAACGTTTTTAACCTGCTGGCTATCATAGGTGCACCTAGTCTTGATCTGCGAATGCCATTCGTCATGATCAAAGGGTCATCTGCCAATGTCACTGGCCATGTGAAGAGCCATCGTAAAGATTCATGCAACAGCAGGAGTATGCTTGAAGATCCTGAAGGCTGACCTCTCACAACAAAAACAATCACCATTTATATAACGTCTCAAACGCTTTAAATGATGGATATCAGGGATTAAGGTTAGATGCAGAGAGGGTGAGAGCAGGCACACATGGGAGAGGGAAGAGAGAGCTAGACCATGGCACACCAAAGACAAATATCCCCCATTTAGCCTTAATATACTTAGGGGCAAGTGCTGTTAGCGAGCACTTGTGAAGGTCGGTACAATCTTCGAGGGGGTTAGCGGCATTTGTCTTCCCAGGAGATGTTTATACACCACACCAGGTATTTATTTAAGGCTGAGTGGGAATTAAACTTTGGTTCGTAGCGTAGCGCTCCCCATAATTCACATGCACACAACAAAGTCAAACACATGCACAGGTATAGACTCATGCACTGATACCAAGCTTCATCTTTCACATACTCATACACACCCACCCATCCCCAGAGGCTCTGAAGATCCATTCTCCTCCTGTATACAGATACAGGCGATGACGACATTGTCTCACCTGCCATTGTAATCAGACCTTGACGGCCAGAGACCGCCATGGTAGATGTGGCTACTATTGATGAGGGCCACGACCGGTGGTCGGTTTACATAACATATCCTCTATTGCTTAATACAACTTGTTACAAATATATGTTCATGCCTGTGAATAATGTGTATCATCATCACGCACAACTGTATAGTATTATTTGTCTTTATCAGACAGGCATTAATTATTTGGCACAAACTTCACAACCAAGACCGCTCAGCGTCTTCAACCCACCTACGAGGAAAGGTAAATACTAAGAAGAGAACGTTATTTAATAATGAATTATTCACTTAAGGAAAAGCTTTAAAATGTAATTTATGACATACATCACTGTGTTCCTCCTCGAAAGATGTTGACCTTTGGTCTCTGGTGTCTATTAAAGGTCAATTTATGAATGTTTAGCCAATTCAGGAGTATTTGTTAACCCTATGCATGTAGACTCACAGTTCTTATCGTTTGAGTCACAAACTATAATTTCCCTTTTTAAGATATACTCACACAGTTACAGATTTTTTTTTCTGTTGCAGTTAGCACGTTTTAAATTGCTTGCAGATGCATAAACCCCACATGAATTTTGGCTTTGTAATCAAAACAGAATAATGACCCGAACTTTGTTAAGAGCCGACATTATTTACAGTGACGTTGAGTGATTAGGCCAAGCGTGGTCACTTTGCGATATTCTTGTGGGCCTGGCCCAACCACCAAGAGGCAGCCAAAGAGCACGCAGGGCTGCCCAGAAAGGGGAGGGGCACTTCACCCCTGGCCTCACACAAAGTAGGGCCTACAACAAGGCTGTGGATAGTGGCATAAGGAAGGGGCCCTACATAGCGTACTGGCCTGGTCCCCCACGAACCTCTGGGTGGCCCTGCAAGCATGTGTGTGTGTTCTTGGTGTCCACAGCCCACACGGGTGGACCACCCCGAGTAGACATAATTAACATCTTGGCACAAGGGAGCGATTGATAGGGTTTGACCAAGAAATAATAGTTAAATTACAGGGACGTGACTGAACAATGGAGAAAGAGTGACTGCACCGTCGATTGATGCAGAGTGAGTCGGAGGGTTTCCACCTGTCCTGGTTTTCCCAAGATGTCCTCTTTTTTACGCAAGCGTGAGCAGAGATTTCTCATAACGTATTTCATTTCTTATAGGTTTTCAAACCCAATGTTAAAATATTAATAATGAAATACAAGAATAAGAATATGAATAGAAATACAAGGGTTTGTTTTACAAACTAAAATACAATGTTGGTCCATTACCATGTGGGCTTTCTAATCTATTTAAAATGCATAGGCTTCATTATTTTCCACCCTTCCTTTCATCAGCCGAGAGTTGCTAATGAAATGTTTCTGGATTTGATTGTTATAGGTCCTCCGTGAACACATACATTTGTTAACCGCCAAGTTTTGCTGATAAGTTTCACAAAGTCAACACCAGTCCAGAGTTTGCCTGCTACAATAAATATTGCTGGAAATGCCGGTCCAGAACACCCTTAGCCTGGTATTTTATGTTCCTGCAGTAAAAAAAAAACATTGTTACATCGGCTTCTGCTCCAATTAAGATGTGCAACCGCTGCCTTTACTGCCGTTGATGTTACTGTCACTGCTGTTTCTACAACAGTTGCTGTTACTGCTGTTACTGCTGCTGCTGCTGTTGCTTCTGCTGCTTGCTCAGAATCAAAATATGTATTTATGCTGGAGGAATCCGATGAGCTATAAAACTCGTTTTCACTTCTGCAGCATGGTGATATAATTAGTCCAAATTCAAGCCAGACCGATGCGCCATTGGCCGCTTGAGAGAAAAGTGATTCTGATATGACTAAGGGGGAAAAAACAGCCATATATAATGTGTCATGTCGCCTCCGCGATATGTCCTTTGAAAGGCAAATGAAATTAATTTCATCCTGTTAAACTGATGTTATGTAGAAGCAGCTGTCACACTTGCCGATTCGAAGTGAGTGATTTTCAGATTGAGGTGACTTGACACAATGGTTCCCGCGTGCTCATGATTTCACGCCATCGCTAACGTCCACTGTGTTCCAGACGGCACGCCTAAGGAATCCACCTTTGCGGGGGAAGTCAAAAGTGGTTGCCGTACGGCTATAATCGCCATTTAAATGTCGAATTCCCACCACTGGCTCCGGGCTGCGAGATGAGCACGGAGTCGATACCCGCCAGGATACCAGGGCAGCTGCAGGAATTGTTAAAATTACACTCCGTTAATGAAATGAATGGTAATTTTAAACTTCTGTCTGTGTTCCTCTTGCTATGTTTACACATATTTGCCCATTTTAAATAAAAGAACAACAACAACAATGTCTCAACGTGAAGATGCTGCTCATTCCCGGAGCTCTTAGGCGTGCCATCACTGGAGGCTGCCTGCTGCTCTCAGGAGGAGCCTCAATCCGCTCGCTCGCCCCCCTCTCTATTCGCGTTTGCTTCATGCTCGAGTTCACCGGCCCTGCTTCATTGACGGCAGCCTACCCGCTTAATACTGTGGCTGTATTATCCACGAATTCTCACCGCCCGCATCACGGTAGCATGTCGGCATCATCGTCCGAATTTGCTAAATTAGTAAATAACTTTCACCAACTACGTGCAGTCATTGGGAAATACCACAATTCGATATTTACCCCCTACTCACACACTCATGCCCATTCGCAGGCTGTGCTACGTACACCTTGTGCCGCACAGGGGCAGCTGCCGCTGGTGGTATAATACAGGGGGAATGGTTGAGACGAGATGGTGGAATGGTTAGGACGAGATGGTGTAAGGCGAGTTTGGTTGCTGAGGTATAAACAAACGCCCGATGCACACAACCTTTTCTTCTTGGTTTGTTTATTTCAGAGCTGCAGGAGCTGGTGAGATTCAGCATGGCACGGGATGGGCGTGAGAGCGAAATCTCGTCGCCGGAGGACACCTCGACCAGCCCCACCAACGGGTCGCTTCCGAGCGGCAACGGCGGCGACGCCGATCACCATGGGCGCGACGAAGCCGGCAAGAAGACGAGCAGCGGAGAAACGCAGGAACCAGTGCGCACGGGCAGTGAGCCGGGTGAGCAGCACACCGAGAGATTCTTCACCTTAACGGATACAAGATAGAAAGAGAAAAAGAAAAAAACGAAACCCATTCAGTGTAACTGGTATTGACTAAACTTCCCAATGCTGAAAAAATTACCTGCAAATTACTCTATTAGGGTCGAACACAGCCACAACTTCACCCCATAATGCGAAAATCCAGCAGGACCCTGCTTAAAAACAAGTCTTTTGACTTGATGAAGCTTCTCTGTGTATACAAGCGCAATAATGAGAATACGTGTGATTGTACAGCGAGCAGAGTCACGGTGGAAATAAACAATACAATATCACAGAGGAAGCACTCTCAATGTTACTGTGTATGTTTGTATGTATGTATGTTGAACGTCTTTCGTACTGTACATAACCAACCGTGCATATCGGAGGGGTGTATGGTGAGGTTGCAGTATGGGGATGAATTCGGTGTCTGGATATGTAGATGAGTTGGGTGTGGATGTGTGGGTGTGTGGATGAGAGTATTGGTATATGGATAAGTGTACATACAGGAATCCACCAGTTGATGAGACCTGCATTGTGGGGTGGCTATGTGGGCAAGTGACTATGTAGGTCTGAGTCTGCACGTTTGCAGTGTGTAGGAGTCTGAAGGTGTAGGTGTGCGTACTGCTCTTGCGTGGGGAGCAGCGTGCTGCGCTACGATGCCGGCGACCCGAGTTCGATTCCCACCAACTGCCAACACTAGTAACAATTATCTGAATTAGTCCTGCCCCCCTAGGTTGACTCAGCCTCAAATGAGTACCTGGTGTGTTATGTGAACATTGCCACTGGGAAAACAACGATGGTCGGGCATGGGCCTGGCCATCCCCACCCCCCTGTGTACCGTTCCGGTCTTCATAGTTGCTCGCTTTACAGCACTTGCCCCAAAGGTATGTTAAGGCGATATGGGGGATATTTGTCTTTGTCCTGCAAGTGGTGACGCAGGCATGCCACCACAGGTGAAAGCTGAGCTCCACGTTAGCAAATGGACATGCGTCGTGTGCTGCAGGAGACCAATGGTGAACGCAACGACGGGGACGTAGAGCACGTGTGGGAAGACAGGATGGCAAAACAAAACAACTGGAATGTGAACAAATCTATTTGAATCTCGATACATTTCCAGCTCATTTGTTGCAATACAGCTCCACCTCTGAAAAACAATAAGACTTTGATCGATACTGTACATTTTCATTCTTCCCTCTTTGGTATCTGCATAAATGTGAAAAGCACACCATTGCATCGCGTGCTTATGCTTCGTTCAAATAGCCGTCAAAATGTACATATGTAGTTGAACTTCTTTCACACCGTACGTAGACAATCAATTAGCACGGTTGGCTACACGCTGGCGCTGCCCGTCACAGTGTAAGTCTGCTGGGAAACTTGGTGCCTCCGATAATGAGCAGGCTGTCACGGACGTAGTTGTTTATTTACGAAGCCATTATCGGCCCCTTGCTCAAATGCTGCCACCATAGATCACACAATCGGTCAGCCTGCCTGGCCCCCATCAGCGTCCCACGCCTCGGGATGACGCGCGCTCCCCTGGGCCCTTGTGGAAGGCGACCAACGAGCCCTGTCGCTCCCCGGAAGAGTTTGCTAAGTGATTTGAAATGCGTCTCTTGTATGAATGTTGTGTAAATTCACGTGGGCGGTTAACCTCTTGCCCTGGGCGAATGCGCATATCGTTGACACTGCGGTCACATCAACCGACAGCGCTGACCTCGAAGGTCAAAAGGTCCACATCGATGATTGTTGACCGTGTTAGTTTTGTTGTCCTTTTCTGTTTTGCTCTCTTAGGTCATTATCTTTGTAAAGCACTGCATGTTATTATTGCTTTGGAATGACGTGTTTCCGTTTATTTTTAATTACTTTGGAAAAGTGACTTGCGAGCACTAATGGAGCTCGTTGACTTGTGAAAAACTGTGCAGTTGTCTTTCATGAGATGCGTTTGTCCAAAGGGAAGGGGTGTCAGGGTTATGGCTAAGTTTATGGTTGGGGTTAGGGTTTAGTCTGTTCATGGTTGGGAGTAATGTTGGAAGCATTAGATTTGGTACAGCTTGACCTGTGAATTCTGGCTGAGATTAAAACAATTAATGATGACATTCTGATTTCAATCTTGAAGTATTCCTAGCACTCTCTGAAAAGGATAATAACTCATCAGACAGAAATGTGCATGTAGGCTGGAAACAAATGAAAGTAGTAAACATACTGCCAGTGTAATTAGAAAACATCTCTACTACAGTAGGAAATACTGGCTCTACTGCACTGACGATTCCTAACGACGGTGAAGATTACGTACAGGTTGTCCTGCTGTGGACCATACAGTAAACCACTGTAACATACGCTCCTTCAATGGAGAAATATAAAAAATAAACGAACTCTCTCCATGGCTTGCAAGAATATTACTTAATTATCCTACTACTGCAGTCTAAAATAACATGGCATAATTACGACCCTCGAGTTGTGGTCTAAAACAAGGCCATGTAAACTATAAACACAGTCTTATCAATTGACGTGACATCCACGGCATGATTATAATCACGCCTTCTGCTGTCAATAAATCACCTCTTGCTTGCATTGTTATTCCTCTTCTGGCTAGGTTTGCCCTGTTTAAGCTTGAACCTCGGTGGATATTGACAGGTGGCTGCATTGATAAAGATAATAACTAAAGGTAAAAAAACTGAAAATAAATATTTTTCTGGGAACAAAAGCTGAGTTGTGAGTTTTTCCCGCGCTCAGTGTCATTTTAATCCCTGGATTGTGTCGACCGCTGATGTAGCAGTAGCTTGTGTTGTGCCGCCGTAAATCCTGCACACAATGACGGAAAGGTCAATTGTGGAGCAAGTAATTTACTTTTTGGCAGCCAGCTTTTTTGACTTACTAAACACAAGTTACATGTCCACAATAAACTTAAAAAGCAATATATGTGAATATATGTGAAAGCGATATGTGTGAATATTCTTACAGAAATGTGTGTCGACTCCGGGAAATTAAAACGAATTGAGCCAAGAAAGAAACAAAAACCGGGGACTTTTTTTTAATGAATCCATGTGATATGCATATTGGGTTCACGTCGCGATGTGTGCAATGAGTATTATATCATTTACACACATTGTGAATAAACGTGGTATTGTGCAAATAATCTCATGTTCCTGCTTGTAAAATACAGCTACAAATATGACTGGAAAGTGAATGTTTTTCTCTTTAAATATATATTTTAACAAGTGTTTTCATTTCTTACATTATCCCAGCTCCCGAAGCAAATGCCCATGGAGGGAAACCGCTGCAAGACCGTCGCATGGGCAACGGTTCCAGTGAACGGTCCTAGCACCGTCGACATTCTCACAACGAGCGAGTGACGTCGGCACTCTCCGGAGGATGACGTCATCAGGATCTTTGGTACCTGCGGTGCAACGTGGGACGCGTTTGTCGCTGGAGCCCTGACAACCTTCTGGCCGGCACTCACGCATCTCCCTCTCATAATATGGACGGCACCGCGTGTTCCGTGGCACCAACCGACCCACACAGAAACGGGACGACCTCTGGCACTCGCTTGGCCTCTGGGGACAATCGTTTTATTGAATGCGTGCGACTGCTTTCAATGCCCCCCCCCTCGCCTGCAGCGGCTTAAACTGACCCGTGATTCTCCCCCGGTCAGCTGGTCACGGGACCCAGGAGGCACCAGGGGTTCGGCGCATGGCTGGCATCGCCTGGGAAGAGGCGTCGGTGAAATGGGCCTCTCCAATGTCAATTTGGATGAATTTGGATTTTTCCCTTTTTTATTACCTCTCAGAATTTCTCACTGGAATCAAACCGTCTGTGACTGCAGCGGCGCAGGCTCGCTGCACACTGTGCCGCTGCTTGTTGCGTTCTCGACGGGGCTCAATTCTTCACGGAATAATATTCGCGTCGGGAGTAGGCCTCGAGACGGACCGCGGAGTGGTCACTGCCATAGTGAGAAGTTTATTGGATGTGATGTGATGATAATATGCGGGTCTGAATTTGAGCCTTGGTTGTATACAATATTGCCATTGTAATCACGGCAGCAGTGCTTTTTGCTGGCATGACATATCCTTTGCTCTTAAAATGCACAGTATTCAGCATCATACCATTATGTTCTCGTCGTCTTTATTTGTGGCATTTACATTGCTTGTGTTGCTTTGTAAAGGATATGGACAGAGGACGTTATAGTCCCGTTAGAGCTGGTTGAGTGGTTGTGGCCTGGATTTAGGATGTGACACGACTTTGGCTGGAGCCGTCGATGACAGCTGGGGACAGAGACTCGTCGTTTTTTCGTCCGTGACTTTTTTGTCTGACATGCGCCCATGCAGTGGACCAACCACTGTGAACAACGGTCAATAATTGAATCTCATTTGAGCTTTTAACCTCGCCTTGAACTGTACACTATGTTAAAAATCAGTGACGGTGATAACATCATATGAGTTCACTGGCAATGTTTGTTAGAGTTTTGGAATGTCACCAAAGTAGGTCCACTAATGTCAGAAAAGGGCACAATGGGTTCATTTTCAAAATGGACAATGCGACTTTACAGGACGTTACACAATACTGAGCATTGATTTTTTTTAAAGTAGCTGTTTGCACAAATTTAGCATTCTAATCTCACTTTGCATGCCCAGCAACAACACTGAAATGCACAAAAGATTTCTCATTCTGGAGTTTTTCCGATGCCCTGTGCCATTTTCACTGTGTCCAATATTGATCCTCCTGTCGGTCATGCCATTACAAGATAATAACTGGTACATGTGAGGGTTGATGGGGGTTTTATACGTAATCTTAACCTTCACTGGGAATCGCACAAGTCACTAAGTTTGTCGTGCAGTGCGCTAACCACTGCGCAATCGCTCAACCCATATGTAGTCTGTACACATTCACATGAAGACCTAACGAGACTGAACGCGAGCTTGCTGTAGGTTGGATATTTTTGGCACGGATACGTGGCACATGTTTTTAATTGTATCATAAGTGATGTCTCATTGCTTCTTTCTGTTGGGAAATGAGACTAACTACAAGACGTTGCTGCACACAGTCTTGCGTTGGGCCTGGGTAATTGTGTGAATGGATTTAGCAACACACAAAGGTGTGCAGCTTTGCATGTACAAATGATATTAGCCTTATCCAGACCACCAGCTCAAAATAATCGCTTGTGTGCCCATATTGTCGTTTAATCCACCAACTCAAGGAGTTTAGAAAATGTGCCCATCCTCAGGGCAGCAGTGAGACAAAGACAACCATTGGCTGGTTTCATTCTCATGCAGACTCATCAGCACAGCAACATCCTCACATTTCATGCTAGCGGTAGGAGCAGCCACATTTTCTCAACTCTTTGAGAAGATTATTTCCCTGCTACGTGACTTTACCGAAAGAACCAAGAAGATCTTTGAGAAGAGTTGAGAAAACGGCAAAATGGCCACATGCAGTTATTTTGAGCTGGTGGTCTCTGGGTAAGCCAGGGAGCGTTTATACATGCAATATTGTACACATTTGATGTATTCTTAAACCTATGTTTTTCCGGCCGCATTAATTTCTCTGGTTTGAGGGGTTTTCTTATCATTTGCAGATTTGAATGATTGGGCAAAGTAGACAGGCGTCAGAACAGTGTTTAATGAGGCCCATTTGCTCGGCTGAGCTCACCTGTCCCACACCCAGGTGTAGCAGCGCATGATTTCACAAGATGACCGACTTTAGCTGCATAGAGAGCGGCTTGCTCCAAGCTATGGGCAGAGATGATAATGCGAGAGATTTCTGGTGTCATTTTAAATCCCTTGTTGTTTGATTCACATTTTGAATATGATTGCTGAACAGGCATTAGTTGATATTGTCCATTTCTCACTTATGAATATATACGGTATTTGAGTTGGGGAGAATTACTCGCAGTGGAACATAAATATTTTAAGTTAGGGAAACTGTGTTGTAATCACTTTGTTTTAAAGCTGTCATGACCACACAAAGCCATCATAACGTTTTTAACATATTCATAGATCCACAATTGTAATCTCAAAGTAGAACGATACAGAATCAGTCAATAAAAATCTTAACCTTATCTGAAGTGCATCTTGTATGAAATTGAGTACATGTCCACTATTATCTGTTGATCTCTGTGTTGTACTGTCTGTCAATGTGTCTGTCTGTGTGGGGAGCGGTCGTGTGGCAGTTAGCGTGCTGAGCTACGAACCCGGCGACCTAAGTTCGATTTCCGCTCGCAGCCAACACTCGTGATGATTATCTGAACCAGTCCTGTGCCTCCCCTAGATCGACTCAGCCTCAAATTAGTACCTGGTGTGATGCGTAAAACATCACCACTAGGGAGACAAAGGCGGTTTGCTAGCCTTCATAGGTGCTCATAAACAGCACTTTCCCCAACAGTCTGTTAAGCCTACACGTGTGTCTATCTCCTAGGGTCCCGCGTATGTCTCCTCCATGGATGTGTAGTGAGTTCCCAGGGAGACAGACGACGTAGTTGAGGCACACTCTTTTATTCAACCAAAAGGCGGTAACAATACTTGAAGGGGTAACGGCCCCTTCACCCGTGCTCAATGGGAAACACCCCTAGCACTATTCCCTGACTGTCCTATTCCCAGTCCTCCGCTACGAGTGCTATGGGAGGCTATCTGTTCCGGTCCTGGTCAAGCACGGATCTCGGCACCCAGCTAACCAGGCCGTGCTCTTACAAGAGCAGCGGTCCTGGAGCTCTTGGGGCCACGCCACTGGCTTGCCCTGCTCGGCCCTGACAAGGACAGCGAGCCAGCGGAGTTCCAGGGCCTATTCTGCCGGTCTTCAGTCTTCACTGGTAAGCTTCTAACACACTGGCCCCGAGCCCTCTGGCTCCCCGCCTTTTATAGCAATCCTCTCCGAGGGGTGGGGCTATGGGGGATCACAGCGCCCCCATGGCCCCCCAGGGTTAATCGATGCGGACGTGGATGTAGACACCCGTGTGTGGGTGCAGACACCCTTGTGTTTTTGTCCGCCTTTCTCCCCGTAACAACCCCTACAGATGTACAATTAAATAGAGTAGGGAGTTATAAAGTTTTGAAGATGAAGGATAATTTAATTGGTGTTCATGAGATTAAGCAATGGCGTATCACCACAAATGTCCCATAACCATGAAAACACACACACTGAAACACTGCATTGGCAGTGGTGCGAAAATGACAAACACCCACACATTTGTCAGTAACAATGCCCTAAAAGGAAAATATATATACGAGGCAACATTTCAGGCAATGGAACTTATTCAGAGCAGATCTCTCCATGAAGTAAGGCCATTGCCCAACTTGTTATCTATTCGTCTTTTTCATTGCAGGACAGTGCTATTGACGAATGTGTTGAGCCTTCAGGAGGCATCGATGTCTGTCTATTGCATGTCATGGATGGTTTGGGCGTAGCTGGAGTGGACGAACTCGCCACTGGATGGCAGTCTACAATTGGATAAGGAACATGATTGTAATTGGACCAAGGTTCTAACTTGTGTGCTCATGAAAAAATATACATATATACTTTAAGTCATGAATCACCTGTGATGGGTTAAGGAGTCAAATCTTCCCACTTCCAATTTCCTTTCTCATTCGGTAAAGGGAAGAGATCGATGCTGTACAATCGCCTCAACAACACTTCGTGATGTCGTCGCTGCTCTTTGCTCGCGCGTGTGCGCCAGGCGATGTTGACAGACCACGCGCCGTCTCGCAACATCACTCGAGTAAGTGTGCGCCTTTGATCCGAAATGTTGTGTTCAATGTTTAAACGTTTCGCGTACGAACATGGGCAAGCCACTGTTATAAGTTTCAACCTTGTGAGCTCTCATGCCGTTATTTACTGTCGAGTGCGAACTTGCAGAACTCCTGAAGTAAAAATGGAAAGCGTGGAGCAGAGAGGGAGCAAGAAAGGCGCCTTCTTACACAGTGTACAGCTCTCCGCAACGAGCCATTGAGTCAGAGATTAATACAAGTAATAATAATTCATGCTTTTTTACCCAGGAAAGTGTTACTGAGTCTCAAATCTTTTTTCGGAGGTCCTTGCCAATTATTCGCAGTGTAGAGCGACGATTGCTCTCTGCTTTCAAATTAAATCAACTCTTGGATAATTTTTCTAATTTGGTAAATGTGCACCATCAGGCTGGCACACAATTTTTCCTTCTTCCAATGATTGTACAGAATCTTTGACGTCCACTGTGAAGCGGACAGCGCGTGTGTTGTTCCTTTACCAAATAAGGCCCACTGAGCTACATGGCTCTTTTTCAGAAGCGAATTGGCCATAAATGATAGCTCAATTAAATGGCCTATCATCCATAATAGAGGTGGGTTTTGGGGTTAGGGGCCATCCATTTAGTAGGTACGAAAAAATCTGTCAAAACTTGACCCCTCCCCCCCTCCCTGTACGCACGCGGCCTTTTACCCCCCCCCCCTCCACCTGAGTACGTTCGCCTGACGCACCCCCCCCCCCCCCAGGAATCCTATAGAGCGGCCGATATGTAATCCACGCAGAAATGATCAAGGATTAATAATATTGACGTGTTTCAGCAAACAGTCCACCGCCGGACTATCTAACTCACTTGAAGGCCAATGTCGACACATTATTATCGAGACTTCACCCCGCCCCCCCCCCCCGTTTCCTATGCCTACGAGCATTGTCAGTGGACCCCCCATACGCAAGCGAACGCGTTTGGGTTACCCCCCCCCCCCACTCCATGCATACGGACTCAATGGATGGCCCCTGAGATCGCGTAAATATATAAATGTTGTGTCGTTAAACCCGCCACCACCCGACACAGCCACTTGTAAGGGTTGTCACGTGAACAGAACGTGCTAACTCGTCACTCGTACAGCACACCAGTGTGTTGGAGAGCCAAGCCACAACATTTACAATCTAGTGTTAAACTAAAGTGGCTTATCATGTTAGAATTCCATAGTATAACGCATGTTTCTAAATATGTAGGGAAAACCCGAAGGACCCGAGAAAAGCCTACACGACCAAGGGGAGAACATGCAAACTCCAAATATACAGGCGTCGGGGTCGAATACACGACCTCCTGTATACCAAGCGAGGTAGTTAACATCTCGCCACCACGGCGAGATCAGCCTGCCGCATTCAAGCTGCGGACGTCTGCACTGGGCCAGGTCGTGTCAGCAGGCCACAGATGCTGACACAAGTTACACTCGCATATCTGTGTTGAAATGGATTCACAACACTGGGCTTTATGCATAGCATCCAGCTCACATGTGGAGATGTTTCCGATTGGGAACAGTGATGTGTGTCTGTGTGTGTGCCTGTGTGTGTCTGTGTGTGTCTGTGTGTGTCTGTGTGTGTCTGTGCGTGTTGGATGCATGAACTTTAAAATCACTCGAAACAACAGGTGGCCAGGTGGCTTAAAGCACTGAACTGGCACCTTTGAGATTTGAATTTGAAACTGGCAATCACCATTCGTGTTTAAAGAGTAAATTATCAAGTGTAGTGACTTGATAATCTCGTTCCGATCACCAATGACTGCACACACAACGTAACATTAAATTCGGTTGTTGATGTTATATATCAAGGTTCTAACTCTGGGTTTAAACAGTATGCCGTACAGTAAAAACCTTTATCTGCAACACAGTTTGTGGATAAAGTTAGTCACTTGAAGCGATCTCAGGAGTAGTTCTGTATTTTCTTCTTCCGTGGGCTGTTTTTAACATGGGGTAATGCAATGCTCTGGAAACATATTATTGAACGCTTGCTCTTATGTTAAAACAAATATGGCACAATTCTAATGCAATTGGGAAAGAGACAAGAAAAATCACTCACACGAGCAATGAGGCAGCACTCATCCATTTTGATTGCCTTGATCCAGTCATGGAAATTCCACATTCCTATGACAATTGCCAGTCTCACTTAACAAAGTCTCACTTAACAAAAATGACTGTTGACTTCCCCAAAGTGGAACTTACTTTTTGCTAAATGAATGAGTTGGCCCCAACTGGGAGTAGCTTTAAAACAATAACACAAAGATATACAAAACCGTAAAATGTAAAAACACATCTGTGGGATAAAACCCAGATTATGCTGAGGCGGCAGCAGCAAAGATGTGAATACAGAGAGAGGTCCTGCAGGCTGAGTTGTTTATGCCTGCACCCGTGCGTGCCTTTGCGGGGAGCGGTAGTGCAGCAGTTGGCGCTGCGCTACGAACTCATTATCCGAGTTTGATTCCCGCTCACGGCCAACACCAGTGACGATTATCAGAACTATTCCTGGGCTTCCTTTCGGTCGACTCAGTCTTAAATCAGGGGAGACAAAGGTGGCTGGGCGTGGTGCTGGCCACTTGACCCCCTCGTGTGCCTTCATAGCTGCTCACTAACAGCACTTTCCCCAATAGCATGCTAAGGCTGTACGTTTTTTTTTGTATTTGTGTGCGCTCATGAAATTCAAAGACAGGCCATTGACTATATTTCAAGTGACGGCTGAGACTTTACGCGATTGCAACACAACAAAAAATTACGTTGCAACTTGTGACTTGGTGCTTATGTGGACCGCGGCTGTGAGAGAAGAGAAGGGAGCGATTGATGCCTTGCACAAAGATGGTGCTGTGCGGCTTTGGTCACCAACATCTGGGCAATTTACACTTCGTGCGCCGTTTATTTGTAAACACCATAGCAGTTGTAGTTGCCTCTTTAAGTACCATGAATAATTTAACAAGTAGACTGTTACTTGTATTTAAGCACATGCAGCAGGAAAAAAACACAAGCCGGTCCATTTCCAGCATGTGCTGATTTTAATGTCGCAATGTTCGCACAAGGGACAGAACCTGACTGTGTAATATCGCTTCTCGATACGGTCGCATGCATAAGAAAGCGATCTCTAAAGCAGATCGAGTCTCCCCTCCCTCCAGCCCCACCCAACCGCATTGCTGAACTGCATTGGCTTACGGTTGCTGAGAGAATACATTTTGAGGTCATACTCATGACACACAAAGTGCTTGACAGAAATGAAACCACAATACCTTGCTGATCTCGTCAAGGAGCATAAACCATCACGCGAATTCCGGTCATCCTCGCAGCGCCTTTTGGCTGGCCATCGAACAGAGATGTTCACTGTATCGCGCGCTTTCAGATGCGCTTCTGTGGCCGTCTGGAACGCTCTTCCTTCCGATATTAAGAAGCCACTGAAGCTATGCACTTTAAAATCTAAATTTAAAACTCATTTATTTTGAATTGCTTTTTGTGTTGAGTTTGTTGTCTTTCCCCCACACTTCCGATTACCACGGTTGGCTACATACGGTGTGAGAGAAGTTCAACATACATACATTGACCACCGCCGTGAAGTATGATCAAACAACTCCCCATGAGCCACGTTCCCGCAACAAATGAGGAGTGCTCTTTTTCCTGCGTCTCATTTTTTGCTTTTAAACGGTTCGGGTTTGCCATGAAGAATGACCATTTGCTACAACATCGCCTGTTATACAGTATATTTTAACTTGTAAGGCAGTGTTATTGTCGAATCTGTTGAGTTTCTTGTTACGCATGCTTTGAGAATTGAGAAGGCCGTCAATCAGCAGTGGATTAAAAAAGGGTTGCAACTAATAAGAATAGGCCAACAAAACTGAAACCTTTTTACAAGGAACCATGTCTGCATTAACCACAATACTTGTGGTCAAAATGTAAACAAAAAACACACTCTGACAATATATGCATTGTCCTTGAAACTGAAAAGCACCAATTGAGACGAGGCTCAAAAGAAAGCTGTCTCTGGTGTGGACCAATCAGTTTCAAGGACAATGCTTATATTACCAGTGTGTTTTTTGTTTACATTTGACCACAAGTATTGTGGTTAATGCAAACATGATTCCCTGTAAAAAGGTTTCAGTTTTGTTGCCAGAAAAAAGGGGAAAACCCCAATTCTTAAATTTTGGTACTGGCAAAGGAGGTCTAATCATGTGGCTTGTAAATTATCATTCAAGTAATTCTGAGTTCTTAATTTTATGAAGTGACGTTGTGTGACCACTCGGGTGGCAGGGGTAGCAGAGAGTTGACCCCCACCCCCCCCCCCCCAGGGCTCAATAAACTACCACAATGCAACCATCTGCTGTGACCATTCCCCCCGCCCCCGACATCGTGTGAAGAGGGCCATTGTGTTCCGTGTGAGATCCACATTTATCACATTCTACAAAATTATCCGCTTTTGCGGAATAACCAAAGAGACCGCTAAGGGCAACAAGTGGATTCCTCGCGTTCCTCTTGGGGAGAGAAGCCACGTCTCTGAGCCAGGAGTCTGACCACCAGGCGCAGCAAGTCGAGTAGATAGGAGGTCATGTACGTTGTGTGTGTATGTGTTAAAGTATTTAATTGGTGGCCAGTTCTGTTATAGCTCTTGCTTGAAGGGCCCCCTGCTCCCTGCTTTCCGAGGCGCACGCACCGCCACCACCACTCGCGGTCATCAAGATAATTGGTCTGTATTGCAGGAGAGGCTGGGGGGGGAGGCTGTTGGAGAGTAATGAGTAATTTTACGAGGTGTGGGTGTTTGTCTAGAGAGCCGTTAGCACTGCGACGTGCACAGCAACTAAACAGTGAGGCCACGTTCACGGAAGAAAATTTGAACAGTCGCGTTGCTGGCTGTCTCATTCACGTCCAGCTCATTCAATGGAATTTCGTCTTTCCCCCAATTTTATCCCAATTATGCGATCGGCGTGATATCATGAAACGAAGAATCCATCCGGAAATCTTGTAAAGGAATGCAACCCGTTGTGTTAGGGAACGGCCCACAGAAGCAGACATTACAGAGCAACCTCTCAGATCCCTTCTTCAAGTGGTCTCTGGTGCACACAGTAGAGGACGGCACTTTCCCCACTGTTTTCTACATGGAAGCATATTTCGTCAAATGACAGTAAAACTATATTTTTGTATTATTATTAGAAGTAGAATTTTGTCGAATTAAGTGCAGAACCAAATTTTACGAAAAAGATGTTTGTCCAGTAATTGGTGACCTGGCTGAGGCCATCAACGCGGAACACTCGAGAACCCCCTGTGAAACTGGGGATCTAGTAGTGCCTTGGTTCTTGAGCCACCCGGCCACCTCTGACCATACTTCTTAGTCAGGGTCTTGGTAATATGTGCGTGCCTCCCCACGTGCCACAGTCTAGACCACCGGCCATGACGTGTCTTGTCGAAGCCTGCCTCCCACTTGACAGCCAAATGCGACGTCTCCAACACATCGCATCATGACAGGAGTATAACACGAGTGGCACAACAGCGCAGTAACACATCGCATCATGACAGGAGTATAACACGAGTGGCACAACAGCGCAGTTACACATCGCATCATGACAGGAGTATAACACGAGTGGCACAACAGCGCAGTTACACATCGCATCATGACAGGAGTATAACACGAGTGGCACAACAGCGCAGTAACACATCGCATCATGACAGGAGTATAACACGAGTGGCACAACAGCGCAGTAACACATCGGCCCGTGCGCGGTGTCGGCACAACGCTTTGACCTCTGAGCCCCGCGGCCACCTCCCATGCCCAACTCTTAACCCCTTCAGCGCTGGCCCGTGTCTGTCATTGTCCGAGCCCAAGCTTTTATCTTCGACGGCAAGGGGTTTGCTGGAGTGCTGAGAGACGAACAGGGAGGAGGAGGGGGGCTCACCCGTGCAGGGGTTGGGGCCCACGTTTGTCCAAACAAGGGCGTGCGACCAGCCAGGCAGCCCCCCGCCTCCTCCTCCCTGTGCCCTCGCCAGCGCCGGTCTCACCCACACGCTCGCCATGCGTCCGTCTGAGCAGTGTCGTTTTGACGTCCACTGTTAACAAAGATGTCTGGTGTCCTCCGTGTGTATGTGCTGAAGATGCGGTGGGGGTGTGCGGGAAGGCAGGCTGTTTTAACAGTTTGACAAAAAGACCACAGTGGTTAAACATTCTAGATTTAATTTAGTTGTTTTCATTAATTTTATTAGATTTTTAGCTACGTGACTTTACCGAAAAAAACCCAAAGAGTATGGTTAAACATGTTTTTATATTTCCAGATAAGCGGTTGCTACGTGATTAATGCTGGCTTATTTAAGTAATCTGCTGTCAAATTATTGTAAATTATTGGGCTCGAATTATCGTATTGGCAGCAAGCCATTTTAATCCAGTGTCGCGTGAACTGTTTTAATTTGAATCTTTAGCCAGGCATACAATATCAATCACTGATGCAAATCAATATAAATAACTTCTATTAGCGTTTATCCAACTTTCAAGCATCGTTTTTATCACTGCATTGGCTTCTCTCTGTTCTTACTCAAAGTGCCTATGACCAAAATCACGTGGAATGTGCCCGATCTCATCAAATATCAGAAGCTAAGCGGGTTTGACCCTGGATAGTGTTTGGATGAACAATAGCCATGCACGAAACATGGCTTGTGGGCAACTGTGGGGCTACGTTGCCGTCAGAATGCAGTCCAGCAAATTACATCGTTGGACTGTAGTATTTGCCAACGTCTATGCTCCCCAACGTCACCAATCTACACTGACCAGCATGGCCAAGTATGGGCAAATACCACCCATGTATAAGATGGCGTGGAGAGGCCCTCATCCAGCAGTGGATTGACACGCACCTGCATCTATCCATTTATATAGGCAATGTCCTCAACAAATGTGGATGCGTCAGTTTTTGCTTTTAGCAGGATCTCAATTCTACTTTGCAGGCTTTCCCAGTTACCCAGTGTAGCTCTCGTGTTGTTGGGCACGATGTCCAATGTCTCGCTCCACGTGCTGAGAGCTTCTCCAGCAAATGAATAATCTTGAGGCAATGAATGTGAATTGAATATGGTTGCAGTTCCTGAAGAAGCTGCCAGCGTGTTCAGCAGAAAGTCAGACATCGTGCCGAGCGGCGTTCGGCACAACCTCCAGAAGCACTCACCGGCGGAGATCTGCCCCTCACGTATGACAAGATCCACCGAAGCCCCCGCTGAGTGCAGGAGACGAACTCCACATCCGGGGCCGAGGGAGACGGGCTGCGTCCAAAGGGCGTCTGCAGATCGCTGCCGGAAATACGAAGACGAACGAGAGGGCCGTCGAGGGTGCCGTCTGAAGATGTAAATACACTCCCCCACGCCCCCCCCCCCCAAAAAAAAAAACCGGCCCGCTCTTTGCATTGTTTAGTGTTGGCTGTATTTCAATAATGCAGTGTGCCTGCCCTGTGTCGTCTGCTAATTAATGATCAAATCCATGTTTGCAGGAGTATTAGTCTTTTACAAGTCTTGGGGAACATCCCGTGGCAGTTGCTTATCTGGCGCCCGCATCCTGTTGCCTTCTTCCGATGCTATCTTGGTGACCGAACCAGGAGTCTGTTGTGCCTTTGCATTCCATTCCATAGGAAAGCCACTGGAGCTATAGTCGTTCAGAGCAGTTTTGTGTGTGTTTAGTTTGTTGTTGTTCCCCCGCACCTCCGATTAGCACGGTTGGCTACCGTACGGTGCGAAAGAAGTTCAACATTCACACCCACTTCTCACTTATGCGTTTGATGACAGCGTGTGTCTGTCGAGCAGCGTGGCGCTGCCTTCGAGGTGCATTCTCGGCAGGAGCAGATCCATCACGCGCCACGTCACCGTCCGCTGTGTCCTTGCTCCGAGTCGAATGCCCCACTCTGTCTCGTGACGTTAAGCCGATAGCACAATCGGCATGCAATTGTCGAAAAGAAAAATGTATATAGCACATTAAACAAGAAATGGTCTGCAAACAACCTTAACTTCACAGTGATGCATGAGCAATATCTTGTGCACAGTACTTCCTTTGCCGTGTCTTTATGAGAAGCTGGGTTTTTGGTCTATTAGTCTGCTGCTGGGAAACCCTGGAAGAGTCTGAGAGATTAAATACATTAAACACGTCCAATAAACGACGTGATGGGTCGCCCTGCATGGAACGGATTAAATGCGACAACTCTTACTGTTTCACATAACCCGCGCGTGCGTCTGCACAGAGCGTTACCAAACAAACACGTCGCGTGGACAATATGAATTAGCATCACTTGGACGTCGAGGGCTTGGTCAGCAGAGGAGGAGAGGGCGGTGGTGAGACGTGTGCTTGGACAAGAGACACCTGGACGAGTCCGCCAACACAAACAAACCCTCGAGGGTCGCTGCACCGTATGCATTCACTCACGCACGCACCCACAAAAGGCGAGGACAACGATCACCCGTGTAGCCTTAAACAGGCTGTTGCGGCAAGTGCTGTTTGCGAGCACCTATTATATTTCGCCCGGTGCTTGAGCCATGTTGCGACTGCTCTCTACTCCCACAGACACACGCATGCAGCCACTCGCACACAAAGATAAAGATCCCCCATATAACCTTAACAGACTGTAGGGGCAAGTGCTGTTAGCGAGCACGTAGAAGGCCGAAACGGTACACGGCGGGGGGGGGGGGGGGGGGGGGGTGGCCAGCACCACGCCCGGCCGCCGTTGTTTCTCCAGTTATAGACACCCACCACACCAGGAACTCGTTTTATGTTGAGACGACCGAAGGGAGGTCCGGTACCAGTTCCGATATTACTCACCAATGACGTTTGCCTAACGCACACACGCAGATGGATATGCTGTACATGCACGCACACATACACACGGGGATGCATACACGCACACAGACATGCGCACACACATGAACGCATGGCATCAGCAAAGATGTCATCAAAGAAAACTGAACGCTTCCATTGGGGATTCGCTTGTGAAGTGTGCCTGTCATGTGGCTTGTGCCCAGTTTGCAGCACTGGTATTATTTTAGTCAAAGTTCTAAGTGTGTGGAGGTTGGTGGGGATGGTTGTGGAGGAGTTGCGTGTCAGGGTGGAGTGAGGGGTCTCAGACATATGTGCGTTCCCTTCCTGCTGATCACAGAGGGGGTGAATGTGATAGAGAGATTCCCCCGGGCCAGAGAAATGAGAGGGAAAAAATCCCCATGGAAAATCCCTCATGGCGTCAAAAGGGATTATATGAGAGGGGATTACACGCAACCAAACTACATAATTTAACACCAGCAATAACATTCATTTTGAATGTTTGTAGGATTAGGTAAGTTTTTTTAACCCAAGGGCATTGGACAAGTGACTGTCTGTATGTTTGTGAATTTTTTTAAGTGCATTTGACAGGGAATACAGAACGACGATCTCAAAGTGTTTATATAAATGTGATGCAAGATAACAGGATGGGCGACGCATAGGTTGGCGCATTGTGCTACGAACCGGCGAACATCAGTGGTGAGTGGCATCAGCACCAGTCCCGGTTCACCCCCACCCGCTCCGACTTCTCCAGACACCACTTGCCCAACCTGTATCGACGAGCATGTGGAATACGGTGGAACAAGCCGCCACCCGTGGCTGATTTGGCGTAGGAAAGGCCTTCATCCAGCAGTTTGCGAATTGTATTTGTGATGTGATGTAACTCGGCAGGTATAATTTTAGAATTTTAATTGGTGAAATTGCCTTACAGTCTGGGGGAGATCCAAATTCTATTATATTAATATTATATTCTTGCGTATGACGGCAATATGTTCGAAACTAAATGCTAATGTTGAGGTCTGTTAGCCACGATGAGAAGGCTTCCGGAGGGAGTTTGTGTAGTTTCGATATTCCATATTGAAGGAGCGCAGACTTTCGTGGTTTACTATATGGTCCGCAGTTTGGTTTGTATGGCTGCAATCGCACTGTGTAGCTTGTCTTGACATTGATAATGAAACCTAAAGAAATTACAACTCTGAACAAGACACAATCGCAAAGCACCAGCGATGGCATGTCACACACGGGAAGGGAGATTATCACACACGTGTGTGTGTGTGCAATCCACCAACCCTCACTGCCTCTACGGTGCTGGATGAGAAGCGACATGCCAAGCCACCACCGCTTGATTGTTAAGGCGGTGAGACTAGCGCCACCCTCTCTAGGGCAGGGACACCAGCAAGAGGGCCGAGTCCACGGCACGTGCCCCAGCTTCACCGCTCCGGACCCGCAAACGAACGTGCCAAGATGTTTTTCAATCGGTGAATGGAAGCAGGTGAGTGAATTTGGCACAAATTGATAGACGATATATCTCTAACTGTTCAAAACTATTTATTTTATCTGCCTATGCATTACCTTTTAAATTTTTAAACAGCGTTTGACATTTAATTTAAATTCATGCACACATTTTATTTGTATCTCTCTGCTATGAAGTAGAGCCATTGCTCAAAACGTCACCCATTTTTCATCTATATATGCACACACATATTTTGGTTTTGTTTACACTACACTAGGTACTAATTTAAGGTCGAGACGAATGTGTTGTGTTATTTTTTTTGTATTTCAAAGAGTATTCATATTTGACAGGGGAATTATATACAATGGTCTGGGTGTCTCAGTTGCTCGCGATGAAAGATTACCAACTATTTCGGCACCGTGAGCCCAAACTGTGTCCCATTGCATTCGAAAGTTTATTTCTGAAAAAAAAGACCCACATGCATCACGCTCTGTCGTGCGTCTCTTCTAAATATAATCTGCCTGAGATTTGCACCCAAATATGGGAGAAAACAATGCTCACGTCGTGAGCGGCTTGCGTCTAAACCGAGGGGGTCCGCGGAATGGACGGCGTCTATGCGTGCGCGGTGGAGATTAACGGCCGAGCTCTGTCGGGAGCGGATGTGGCTTTTCCAGAAGCTCGTCGCGGCGCGAAGGTTGCGAAGTGAAGTTGCTTCGTCACGAGTGAGGGCAGGCGCTCAAGCACGAGCAGCAGCGCCACCCGAGCTCAAGATGTTGCCGTTGCTGCCATGGCACTGCAGCTATCGCTTCCTTCATGCTGCTCGACGCCTCAGCTGTTGCGCAGTTGACACCCGACCTCCAAGAACCCTTCTCACAGTCATCGCCACCACCACCACCACCGCCACAGTCTGGCTCTGGGTCTTCCCGTTTGGTCGGCGACCTCTTGATGCCACTCCAATGCCCGCCTCGGCAAACTGCCCTCCCTCCACCCTGCACACGCGTCCCACCCATCACTACATCCTCTTTCTGATTACATTTGTGTCATATTCCAAATGTACAAGTTTCTGACCATATTCTGCCCTACAGTTTTTTTTCATGTTCTGCGTGTACCTGTGTTCAATTGCAAAAACAACAAACAACTTAAATTTATCCGGCGCTAAATCTCACAAACATCTCAAAGCGCCGCATAATTGGACACCGAACCAGGCAAAGGGACGACTGGGGAGGGAGGAAAGCTTGACCGCTCAAATAAACGAGTTTCAAATATAAATTCGAAGGCGGCACGTGAAGAGGAGGGTGAGTGGGGGGTGAGTTCCTGAGCGTGGTTGTTGAAAAAATGAACGACAGCCTACGGATAGTCATGACGACAGGCTACGACAGGTTACGGATAGCCATCACGCACAAATTGCTTGCCAGAAATTAGCCACAATACCTTTCTGATCTCGTCAAGGAGCATAAACCATCACGCAAACTCCGGTCATCCTCGCAGAAGTGTGTGGCTAACCATTGAATAAAGACGGTCACTGCATCGCGCACTTTCAAATGCGCTTCTGCGACCGTCTGGAACGCTCTTCCTTCCCATGTTAAGAAGCCACTGGAGATATGCACTTTTACATCACCTAGATTGGAAACTCATTTCTTGAAAACTGATATTTGTGTTAAGTTTGTTGTCCTTCCCCCGCACCTCCGATTAGCACGGTTGGCTACGTGCTGTGCGAAAGAAGTTTAGCACAGTGCACATGTAGTCGCCCGGAACGAGCGAGGGTAGCGGTGGAGGAGGCTCGAGTCAGCCGAGCGAAGAGGGCGAACGGGTTTATTACGGTTGGAGTCAATCACGTGGTGGTGGTGGGGGGGGGGGGGGTTACATTTCATATAGACATTCCAATTGATTTCGCACACGTGAACACGAACCAGACAGGCACACGAGGCGGAGGGATGCATTAAGACTCCTGATTTACTAATATATTTAAAATCAATCGATGTTAGATGGGCACAGTTAAAGTGATTTGATTTCCATCTAGACAACAATCGTATTCTGCCAGTTAATCACATTTAGTGTTACTATGTTACTGCCGATGAAATTGTATTATAGTTTTTTTGTATTTTCACGAGGTAAATTTTATTCATGCACTGTGTGTAGCTTACAGAAGTGTTTGATGCAATTCTATACCTTACAATGGTGTGTGGCGGTGCACTTTTGCAATATAACAAACTCTTAGATGCTCTTTCGGTAATTAAGTGGGACATTAAGAATAGACCACAATGCGACTGCAGTCACCATTCTCAAGTCATGGACAACGCAAAGACAGCACAGAGACAGCACAGAGACGCATCACCGTGCACTTCTATCATTCGCTGGCAGCGTTCAAAAAATTGAGCAGGCGATTTATGAAACTGTCCACTCGCTCATAAACCTCGACATGAATATATAAACGCTGCTGATCAGCCGTTCACCGCCATGCATGCAAAGCCTTGTCTTGCACTTTGGAGACAATAATGACTGAATCCTGTAGATGTGTCAGACTCACAACCCCGCTGGGCCGCGAGGTGACCAGAATTTGTTAGTTGCAGCAATTGGGTCCATGCACCCACCTGAGTGGTGGGGTCTTCTCTGGAAACTCCAGTTTCTTCCCACACGGAAGAAATGCCTAAACAGAGTTGACCAGACATCTCAATGCTGGCAACTGCGGTGGACAGTTAGCGCACACGCCATCGAGCATATACACGGTGTGTGTGCCGGCAGGGCGGAGGAACTGGGGCAAGGGTTACGGAAGGCCTCATCGGGAAGCCCCTGGAACCTGCGAGTGGGTTCCAGAAGGGAGGCGAGGTCAGGGAGAACGAGAGCTCCGGGCTGCCGGTTCTGGGAGTGGACTCGTCTCACCGTCGCTGTCGTCGTCTTCGCCGCCTTCGTCGCTGCCGCCTTCACCCGATCATTGCGCGGCCGGACAGTTGGTGGCTGTCTCGGTTGTGTATGGGCTGGGCAGGAGGCGAGCGCTGTGTGTGAACTGCCCAAGAGTGTTTCAATAAAGAAGGTGCCTTCTGCAACTACCTCGTCTCCGACTTGTGCTACACTACACATATGAGGCCTTGATATTGGTACTAAAGGTAAAAGTGCAGCGCGGAAATTGCGTGCTGGTAGAAGGGCTTCCACCAGACGCAGCTCTGGAGAGGCCCCTCGAGTGGACTACTCGCTGACCAAACCTCTTGAAAGAGGCGGTAGTACCGACACTTTACCCCACCACACATGACCTGCATCGAATAACTGCGCCGTACCCATTTACACTGCTAGATCGACAGAGGCGGAGGGATTTAAGAAACTTACATGATCATTCAACTATATTGCTGGGAGAAGGATGCGACAAGTCCAGTGAGTTCGCCACGACACGTGGCAGCATCTCTGTGTTAATACTCTTGCCGAGCAACGAGATGTGCTCGTGGATATATAGATAGATTTATACAGTAGATATATACAGTAGATATATATATACAGTGCTGTGAACACTCAACACAGACCCACAGGCCTGCCACTCGTTATATTTAAATACTTACAGCAACGCTCAGCGTTAGGGTGTTGGCAGAATGTGGGGTTTAAGAACTTGGTAAGCTGCATAGTCTGTACAACTTGCTTTGTGTAAAAAAAGAGATGCAGTGAAATAAATAAAAGTCATCGTAAAAAAAACTTCCCAATTTTCTGGAGAGTCTGCAGACATTTCCCATTCACGAGCTTCTGAGAAGTCGCGAGGAGAAAAAGAACTCGAGAAACAATGTTACATTTATTAAATGAGGAATACGGAAGTAGCCAAACACAATGTATGAACTATAATAGAGGCGTTTGGGTCAGATCGTGTAAATATAAATGTGTCGTTAAACCCGCCACCACCCGACAGCCAATTAGTCAGGTTTGTCACGTAAACAGAACATGCCATTAAGTTACCAGTACAGCACACCCGTGTGTTGGAGAGTAAGCCCACCACAATTACAATTCGAGTACGACGTTTAGACAGCAATTACACCGAGCATCATCAGGCAACAGCCACATTTGTAGAGACACTTGTGAGCCAATCAGGTGCAGAGGCCAGAGGAGGGGGGTGGGAGTAATGTATGCATATAAATTACAATGGATATCTTTAACCGGTTAGGTTATTCATATTGTATAGATTGTAATTTATTATGGATAATATTGGTCGCGAAAGCCTACGTGTTAAACATAATAAAGTGTGAATACATCCTGGTTATTCTTCACGACTTTCCTGTCCATGGACAGGTGCATGGCTGTAGCCCCCTGCACCCCACCTGACCCCATTCCACCCACTTCACGCCGCGACGCCGCACTCAGCGACTCGAGACTCAGCTACGGGACGGGGGGCGCAGGTGGCCTCTCCCTGCCTTGCTCAAAAGTGATGGCTTTGTTCGCCGGGTGGTGGTGGTGGTGTCGGCGCATGCCGGTGACCCGGCATTGTGGAGGCAAGGGGTGGTGGATGGCACACAGATGCTGTGAAACTCCAATTCCCGTGGCGTCGAGGAGGTGTCCCTATACTGGTCCCCAGGAGAATGCGGGACGGCAAAATGTGGACTCCGCCTGTTCCATCTGTATGGAATACACACGTGCTCCGGTTTCCTCCTACAAATAACACTCACGTATGACCGAGAACACCTTAAAATATAGTGGACCCCAGAGCTTGGGGCAGAATTTTGTGCCAGTTCACCGCCTGGCTGCTGACCTCCCGCTTGTCTGTGAGTTGTTCTCTCTCATCAAGAGTGAGCGAATCCTCTGCGGCGCATTACAAGTTGACATTACTGTCGTTATATATATCACTGACATCATCACTGCATTCAGTTCAACGTCATGCCCAAGATGCAATAAGTATTTCCACGGGTTTACATTTTTTAATAGGCACGTTTATTTAATTAGTCTCAAAGAACACACTTTCTGCCACTGCTGCTGTTTCTTACACGGTCTGATGGTCTGACACAACAACGCGTTCACTACTCTGCCACATGGTGCGTGCAGGCTCGCCCCTAGCCAACTGACGTGGCACAGGAGGGCACAAGGTAGCGGTGTAAGCGGCGGCATACGACTATTAGGGCTCACGAAACATGCATCGAATCGCTCGTGTAAGAATTATTGTATTTGTGCATGCAAATTGTACGCAAAAACAATGTGCTGAACTTACATTCAAGAAAATGTGGCTAATACAACTCTACAAGAGAAATAAAATAAAACTGGAAACTATGCAGACGAGACACTAAGAACAAGATCAGAGAGGAATGGATTACGGATTTCAATTGTGGCTCTGAATCGTGACAATTCATTGAATTACCCATGGGAAAAATTGTTACATCCCTACATTCGATGTGTGATGTGAGGGCACAGTTGACAGAGGAGTAGGGGGGGTCATATTAGTGGGATGGAGGGCAGCACTTCTCTAGCCCCGGGTACACAGCACCTCGATACACGGCGATTAGGGATTGGTGAAACATCCCAGGCAGGACAAGCCAAACACTCATGCATGGCATTGGCCAAATATCCCAATGTAAAAAGTGCAATGGCTTTCCCAGTAAAAAATTTGCATTTGCATTCTTAATTAGGAGCATCCGGAACCAGACTAGTAAGACTCGGCTGAGGCTCTCCTGGGTTAATGAATCACATTTTTTATAATTCATATTATTCTTGTCATCCTCAAGAAGGGTGAGGTCACGTGAAAGAAGCGTTCCCCAGGATCTCGGGAGGGGCGCGTCACCGCGGGGCTCCTCCGGCAGGAGGATGACGTCACCGCCGTCGGCGCTTTCCTCGGCGCCGTCGTGGAGCGCGGAGGGGGGGGGGCTCCCTGCGCCCCCCCCCCCGCGTGTTGCCGCAAGGGCCCCCCGCGTGTTGCCGCAAGGGCCCCCCGCGTGCTGCCGCAGCGCCACCGCGGTGTCCTGACAGGGCGTCACTCGACCGCTCCGACTGAGGATCAGCCCCGTTGATTTATTTTCTTCAAATGCCTTCTGTGTGTCTCTGTTGGGGCTTGACTCATTCCACCAAGACTTCGAAGTCAGCCATGTAAGTACGGTGCTGCTTTGTGGGGAAGTCGCGGTGGTTCGACTGAAGGAAAGACTTGTTCCCACCACAGGACTGAGGGAGTTCCTCCACTGGCTCAGGGCTGGACACGGGAGACGAGCACCAACACCTAATTGGGGGAAGCAATGACGGACGTGTGTCTTGACTCTACCTCGCGTTCAGAGAAAAGGATATTCCCAAAGATTTGAGAAGAATCAGCATCCCGTTAACTCAACGAGATGTCCACGCTCTGTCACGCGTGCAGGGGCTGTTCCCTGCAGTCAAGCAGTCGCCTTTGTTCATGCCGCTGCTGTCAGGATCGTTTCTGTATTCCGATTGGTGGCAGCGTGCGTGCTTCTTCACCCGTCAGATGTCCACTCTGGTGTAACATGCGAGAGGTAGAACATCACGTACCCAGATTCCTTGCTGCATTTAGTTTCTCTCCTTAATTGCACATACTTATCGTTATTTACAGCAGCCGACTAATGAACTGTTTATTTGTTTCATTGGTAATTTACGAAGTGGCGTATTTATATATATACTACTTGTTATGGAATGTACTGCAGGGCAGACCAAACAGTGTTGGAGCAGTGTTGACAGTGCTAGTGTGATAGTTGAAGACCCACACCACTACACATTGAACACCGTGTGGTACATAAAAGACGCAATCAAAGTTCTCATTAAAACATTTTAATATTTCCAGAGGTTGATGCATACAAAGATCACGGATCAGGGCATCACTGAGACAGTGGATTCAAATCCAGGTTTCGGCCACCAGTGATTAAACTGGATTTTCCAGTGTGATTAATTTCCGGTCCCAGCCCACTTATTCAGCTGATTCTAGCTCAAGAAATGAAACAATTTGGTGTAATTAATGGACAGCGAACGTTATCTCTGGGACATCCGAAAGGTACGCATGTAACGTGGCTAATACGCCGATGTAACCGACTTCAGAAGTAGTTCTGTGACATCTACTTCCTGGGGATTTGCACTGCGAGCTGACAAAGCTCCGAAATGAGATGTGACTCATTCTGCACCCTGACTCCGATAGAACAATTGAAATCAGATTTCGAGATGTATATATGTTTAAACTATGATCGGGTCACTCCGAATGTACTGTGATGAAATGCGCCATTGCAATCGGTGTACAAAGGGTAGCTCAGTGTGACTTTTTTATTTTATATCTTTCACGTAACTCTTTATCAGCCCCTTGGGTGAATGTATGAGTATGTGTATACAACATTATATACACACTCCGGCCTACACACATAATTGTCCATCCCTTCCTCTGGCCGTGCTGATTTAAGTTGGAACAAAATCGCGTGAACGCATCACTCTTCCTCCTGGGAATATTATCTTTCCACTTAATCTGTCCGTCTGGGAGTTTCTGTCCGTCCATCCTCCTATGCATCCATCCTGATGATGTTTACATGAGAGGAAAACTAAATAGAAATTAGCGAAGATGCAGCGTCTTGTTTACATTGGGCATGGGCGGGTGAGTGGGTGGTGCCCGCACATTGTGCAGATTGCATGCCAGTGGCGGTGGGAGGGGGAGCAGTGGTGACCAGGGGGCCAACCCAACTTAAACTAAACTATTTTGATTTTACAAGGTAAGGCTCGCTGAGCTACATAACTCTTTCAGAAGCGACCTGGCGATCACAAATGATAACTCAACGATGTCGCTTATCATCACGTAAAAAATGTATAGCAGCCAAATACTCTAAAGGCATGTTGATAATTATAAATGTGGAGGGAAACATCGGAGGACCCGGAGAAAAATCTACGCGACCACGGGGAGAGAGAGACATGCAAACTCCAAATATACAGCAGGCGTTAGGGTCGGGATGGAACTCACGACCTCCTGTATACCAGGCGAGGTAGGTCTGGGGGGGGCTAGGGGTACCGGGGGGCAGAGGTGCCAGTGTGCACCAGGGGCGGGGCAGGCTGATGAATATGCATTCAAGATATCACGAAACGATTTTACGCTTTCGTATTCTGACAGGGACTGCAGCACTGTGAGATTGACAGGAGTGAAATGCCCCCCCCCCCTATCTTGAGGTGGTTAACGGCGAAAATGTAATGAATCATGAAGACGGAGTAACCGTGTGTGTACGTGTGCCCACGTCAGTTAAGAATGTTCCTCCCGTGTGTTGTACCGCGACTTGTTCGACATGATGTATGACGTTTCGTCCCACGTGCTGGGAACTTCTTCTTGAGCTTCTTCAGGAAATGAATTTGGCTCCCAGCACGCGAAGCGAAACGTCGAACACTGTACCGAACAACACGCGTTACAAACAGACACCACATCGGGAGCGGTACAGCCCCACGCCATGCTCATCGTGACCACATGTCAAATGAGCCTTCTCTTGGTGGATTTGGATAGAAATTCCACATTCCTATGCCGAGACCAGTGAGAGTCACTATTGACCTAACTTGTATAGTTTTGGTTTGAAGACATCAAATATAGAAACAAACGTGAAAACAGCTTGAATTAAAGTATGTTGGGGAAAGGATGCAATTTCTTTTAACGCGTTTTTGTGCTACCGAAATACTCCTAAATATTAACAATTGCACGTGAATATACTATGAATGGGGAACACATATGCTTTTGTCTGAACACAGACAGAAGTGAAAAAAGCTTCAATAAACAGTCCCAGCTGTAGAAAACTTGTGAGCGCGTTTCCTGCACGCACACACACGGACTCACACGCACACACACGGACGCACACACACACACGGACTCACACGCGCATTCACACTACCTCCACGCTGTAAACATTTGGGAAAATAGCCTGGGGTTACGCGGCCCTAATAAACTGGTGTCCTATGTGATTTCTAGTTTTACAATCCATCAATTCGCCAATACATATGGGTAAACACACACACGCATGGTCGCACGCTCACATATCCTACTGTGACCCCAATCTGAGATGATACTGGCACATAGCAATTGTCAGCAGAATTACAAACATGCTTTCCTCCAGACTTAGCTGGAGGTTTAACATTTCCAAAAATAGACGTTTACTTAACGCCACTGACATGTTGGTGGAACTAGTTATGTGTGTGTGTCCACGTGCAGATTTGCCAACGGAATGATGTAATAATGTGTCTGTAATGATCGTAAAAATGTGCAAAACCAAATATGGCAATGGTTCCTCATCCAACCTCACTCCTTGAACACGGTGGGTCTACTGTAACATTTTATTGTGATGATGCCTTTACAAAAAATTCCGCTCTGCTGTTGTGTAATATCCTGCTGGTCCATGTTTGAGTCCAAATTTACTCTTGCATGTATGCACTGAACTCTAGTAGGGCTTGGTGTTGGGCACAAACACACCAAGCACACAATCAAGGCCCCAAGCAGTTCATGGAGTCCCCGAACGTGCAAAAAAATAGTGGTGCACAAAATATCAGCTCGAATTCAGATTCTAATAAACATAACAGGTTAATTCCATATTTTGTCTCATATATTTTGCCTACATCTCATTCCTCAACATCTATCATCTGTAACTCTCTTCTTTCATCTTATATATTCTCCGCCTGTTACCTATATGGCTCACCACTGATGTTAGCCGTGGCCTGGTTCTCGGTGCAGTTCGCTCACTGCTGCACCGCATCTCCACACCCAGCTGTAGTATTATAATACTGTAGTTGGCAGTGCCATTGTTTTCGCTTACTTGTTGATGCCATTGTGGGAAACCCAGATCCAACCCTTGTTGAATTAATTGTGTTTATTGTACATTATATCTGAAGTACACCGTGACAAGAGCAGCTCCCGCAGTGCCTTGGGTATGACACTGGACTCAGTGCAGAGATCACTGATTCGCCATCTCTTGGGGCTGCAGTTGAAAGAACGCTGCACGCTTCTCAAATCCCTCTGCCTCTGACCACTCAACAGGGTAAATGAGCGCACCGCAGTTTAGTAGATCCGAAGGTTGTATGTGGTGGGTTCATGTGTGGATGGATACGACCATAATTCAGAGACGTCTTGCCAAGTGTGGAAGAGCAGGCCAAACACCCTCTGTGGGAGCTCCCTCTAGTGGACATCCACCGGCAGTGGCGTGGAGCGGCAATTGCAGGGCTGCACAGTTACCTTGACATACATCCGTGTTTTAGAGGGGAAATTGCTTTAGATGTGAATTTCTCCATCTAAATATTGAGTCACGTCGTGTCTGTTGACACGCGCTTGTGATCGGTGCTGGGTGCGTGGCCCCTCCAGTGATGCCGGGGGTGGCTCTCTCGAGGCCTCCCCAGTGGGGACCATCTCCCGACACGCTTCCCCTTCTCCACCACCCTTGGAATTCTGTAGCCGAGTGAAATGCTGTGAATGTTCAGTACTGTACAATCCTCTAAAGTCTAAACTTAACCAAACTTTTTACTTTATCAGGAAGGGCCACTGAGCTATATATTTTTCTGAAGCGACCTGGCAAGATCAACGAAGTGGCTGATCATGACGTGGACATGTATGGCAGCAGCCAAATACTCTAAGCGCACGTTGACTCTACATGTGGAAGGAGAACGCGTCTGGGGAGAACCTTGTTCTCACTCGGGCTGAACACGGATCTCAGTTACCTTGGCGGGCTCCCGCACATTGACGCGCGCAGATCAGTCTCACTTCGTTTTACTCCAAGACCCCCCCCCCCCCCCCGCAGCGACAGAAGTGACGAAGGGTGCTAAAATTATAAAGGCGACGTTGCCAGGTCACAAATGTAGTGGACATCTCGCCACCGTAGGCGTGACAGCAACTCTTGATCTGTGAGCTTCTACACTCCATCGTTCATGTTTCACATGGTGGAGGTGTCAGTTTTTAACTCTCAAATGTATCCTTTGTGTCACGTAATTTGATGAGCATCATGATCAGCTTGGCCTGCAGCACGGTGCAG